GCCAATCGTAGGACTCATACTGATTACTGCTCGGAAATCGAGTATTGTATAAATTTTTGTCCTATCACATGCCTCGTACTATTTCGATCAGAAATCAACTTCCGGGAAGGAAATTTCGAAAGAAAATTTTATTTCTTTTAGAAATAGAATTTTCTTCAATTATTTATTGGATTCTGACGAAATAAAGAGACTGAAGGTAAGATCTTTATCAAATCATTCATCCAAAGTTGATTGTATGAGTATGGCTTGCACTGCGTCCACAAAACGCAATCACTTTTTATTTCCGGGTCCATGGATTTTTCATTACGTTTTTGCAATACTTGGACGGCGTTATTGAAATAGCAGGAAAACAAAGAAAGTTGTAATAAAAAGAAATGATCCAATTGTAGTAGAAACAGATGTATAACATCATGTTCTAATCTGTTGTTTATATCCCCCCTCCCGGGATATCCCCAGTTTATATCTCAGATATTATATGGATAATAGAAAACACACGAATTGTGAAATGTGAGAGAATACAAGTTCTTATTTTGTTTTAGCATGGCTTAACACCACTTGTATCGGTTAACCTAATGGACGTTTCCTTATTTATTATCAGTGATTTGTCAGAAAAATCGGAGCAAAACATACAATATATTACAGGCTTGTAATAAGTTTTAGCCCAGGGGATCAATTTTCAAAACATACCAAGGGTTCACAATTGATAATAGGATTTTGAAAGAATTTTGGCAAGGGGGAGGGTGATTTACTCGAACCCAACGACCCCCCCCCCCTTCCTTGCCAAGGACCTGTATCAAATTTGTAATGTATTGATATATAGTAGTATCGTGTCATCAATGTTTTGTGTTTTTTGTGAAGTGAATAAAGGTGTTTGTGTCTGTGTGAGAGAGGGCTTTAAGTCTTATTTGTTGTAAGCTTAATTTGACAGAGAAACTTTTGATTTAAATTGTGAGGAAACCCAATGAAGTAAAAATGTGAGGAAAGCCATTGATTAAAAATTAACTTTCCATTGAGTCAATCAATTAAATTCAAATTTTAACACAATGTTAATTATAACATAAGGGACATTATACGATCAAATAAATATGAAAAACTAAATTTGCAAATTATTTTTCGGTTGAAATTAGAACCATCGGCTGTAGAAATTAATCCATTAACTCTAACAAACAGATTATTTATCGGTGTGAACAAAACTCAAATCATAGAAATAAAATAATTAGGGATTAAAGTTTGACTTATTATATTGCTCTGGAATGTCAATACATGTATGTGAATGTTGAAAAACTATATGAATTTGAAAGAATCATTGGCCACGGGGAGGGGGGTCCTTAAGTATGGTTCTGTATAAAATGCGTAATGTATTAATTAATTATTGAGCAGTTCTGTGTCATGACTGTTTTTGTTGGCAAAGTGAATACAGGTGGTTGCTTGTATCTGTGTAAGAGAGGGATTTAAGAGTTATTTGCCAAAAACCTAATGTGACAGAGAAACAATGGAATAAAAATGTGAGGAAAACCAATTAATTAAAAATTCAAAAATTAACTTTACAACGAATTAATTGATTGAATCAAAAATTTAACACAATGTTAATCATAACATAGGGACATTATACAATCAAATATATATGTAAAAACTTATTCTGCAAATTATTTTTGTGGAATTTTTTAAGAACCATCAGCTGTAGAGATTAATCCATTAACCATAACAAACGGATTAATTGTCAGTATGAATGAAACTAATTTCATAGGAATTGAATAATTAGGGATTAACGGCTCGAAAATAAACGCGTATAATCGGTTTTTGATTGCAGATGCCAACATATTATTTGCTCCTGACAAAAATATTATTCTATATTATATGGTATTATATGTTGTTCCCTTTAAATAATACACGAATAATATTATTAAATCAAAAATAATTCTTCAAAATACGTATTATATTTTTTTCCGCTATAATACAAAAAATAACTGCCTACTATACTGGAAAAAATATTCTCTATGATTCTCTCTTAATGCAACTTATTTTGCAGTATATTAAACATTTTATTCTATATTATTTTTACATTTTTACCAAGTGTTAGTGTTTAAAAATGTACATTTTAATCAAAAGGTTTAATTTGGTATATAGTAAATAATTAGAATAGAATGTGACACTTGCAAATGAATCTCGCAGTTCAGGTACACTTACATCAAACAAATAAATATGTTTAATTTTGAACATATCTATAAAATAAATCTGATGTTATCTTAAATGCATTGAAAGTACGCTATGTGTTCAGATTAATTGGAACAATACAGAAAAGTATTTTGACATATAGACTTTTCGCGGCTTTTCTTAAACCTTAAGATATATCAAACCTTACATCAGAGGAAATTATAGATTTTGACATACCAAAATATGATATTCATATTTATTATTTCAGATTTGGATTTGTTTTACCATTCTCTATTTTATCTTGAATTACTTTTGACCCATCGTCTTTTTAGATATTATACTTTGAGGATGCTGAAGAGCGCTCACATGGATAGTTTGTAAATATTGCGAGTAATTTGATCACCCTTTCATGACATATTTTTTAGATTTTATAAACTTTTAATGTTTTTAACATTCTATAGACTACTTTAACGATATTTGAATTCTTTTTCAAAACTATTTATCCAATTTCCATACGGTCCATGCTGATTATAAACCTTAGGTTTGTTTTTAATGTCATCGTACTTTTAAATAGATTGCATTGATCCATCTCTTGTAACTGTGATTGTTGTAGAATTCTCTCAAAATATAGTTTATAGAAAATGAGTATTGATATAAATTCAATATAATTCTCTTCAGTTCCATTGTCAAAATGCATTCGGCGAAACACAGACTCTTTCAAATTTCTCGTACATTCCCTGCTATTTTAGGTAAATGCATTGATTAATTTATACATATTTAATACACGCTGGTATACCTATATGCGTTTTCGTATATTCTATTTTTAACTTTGTGTGATCTTGAGATAGAACTTAACTATTGTTTTATAAAAAGTTGACATTTTGTGTTGGATTAATATGGTTAAGTATGACTTATAGATATGTGCTTTTTCAAATGTTGCCCCGTGTGTTTTATCTGGTCAAACACAAATAATGTATTGGTGAGTAAACTAAGTCTACAGAAATGCCAGATTACCATGTGTATCGCGACATAAAAGTCGAAGAAATTGTTCTCTGCGATGTCGCTGTCACATTTCTTATTTTAAACAATATTGATGGCTATCATTATATTTATAATGTTAAGTGATCTGACAAATAAAAACACTAACTCAGCTCAACATTTCTTAGCACTTGTGGTTTCATAACGCAATGTGCTATGAGGGATCGGTCACTTGGAAATTATTTTATTTTAATACAAATAGTTAATTTTATACAATAAGTACAACACTTATAATTAGTTTTAATTGTAACATGCCTTATTGAATTTTATTCTGGTTTTATCATTGAATATTTATTAGAAATGTATAATTGATGTCAATACCAGCATTATTGACATTGAAAATATCTCGGTTATCATATAAACTTAATGGTTCAAATTACAACGCCGGTCACGTGACAAAATGAAAAACAGAGCAAGATCAAAGCGTATTCCTCTGGTAGTCAATCGCATCAAAACATTAAAACCGCTAACTCTATCAAATTAGGCTTGGTGTACGGCTAGCTAAGCTAGAAGTGTCTATGATACGTTGAAGTGACTATGATACGTTGATACGAATAGTTTCTCTATTGACCGTAAGTCTTTCCAAGACATGCTGATTCATTCGAAAACAAAATGGCGACCGATCTTTTTTCTCGTCTGACCTACTGGAGAACGTTGGATTTTATTCTGGTTTTGTACAAAACAAGTTGTGCTTTTCAAACATTATTACCTCAATGGAAATGGCAGTTTATTTGATACCTGGTACCGCATAGTGAACAAATGTTTCACTCGAAACAGGAGAATATTGAAGTAGTTCGTTTGCGGCCATATTGGGAAGTAGAAAACACGGCTAGTTTTAAGTCCCGCCTTCAAAAGTAGTTCCGACCTAAAGCAATCATGAACTATATCTTGCTTTTTAAGTGTATATACACATACTTTTTGCTTTTTCTTCAAACCAATCTACGACATATTCTTATTTGCAACTAAATATTAAATAATAAACTCCTAAAGTGTTGTATGTTTTAATATTTCGTTAGAAAAATAGAGAAAAGTAGGATGGGTTTCCTCATTTATTATTACTTAGTTGTGATTGGACGAGGATTGATGACGCGGTAATTTATTAGGTTTCATTATAGTATCTATGATTGGTTAATGTCAGGTCAAACAGTACATTTTCAGTAATTCCAATTCCAGCAGCAGTTCTTTAGTTTATGAAAAAAGTTGAGCATTTTCTGAATAACCATACACATGAATGCAGTTTCGTGGATACATATTAAGGAAAAGGTACGTTTGTCTTAAAGTTTGATAATTTCTTGATTTCTTGGTTGTGTAGCCTCGTGGGATAAACATAACCCCGTGAACTCTATAATAAACCTCATTTATTGGCTGATGTGATAGATAGCTTGTGGCTAATGTGACTCATTTAAAGCAATGTTTCTGTAAAGTACGGATGCCTACTACGGAAGCCTCAGAGATCATGGGGCTAGAGAATCAAGGTAAAACTTTTCTTTATTAGATCTATGTGTTTGGATACTCTATGAGGTAATGTTTCTTTCAATGATTCGCATGTTAACTGCAAGGTGCGGCGTTACAACTCTAGCGATGATTGAACAGCGTAAAGTTGTGTGTATATTTTATTATGGCTAATGTTATCTCTTGTAGGACTACACTGGTCAATAACTTTATATTGGCAGATCAAGAGGAGCGGCAATCCTCGAGTACTCTCTATCAGTGTTATTGCTTATCATTATGATCATTATGAGTGGTAATGTTGGGTGGTTTAACATTTGCAACAACATTTATCATTTAGTTATGTCCCTGTTTTTCAGGGGAGCCAATGATGGATTCCACAACCAGTATCCTAGCTCGAACGGGACTCCAGTATTCTGCTAGTTCAGTCACAGCCGCGGGATTAGCGGCGGGGCAGGCTCAGGACACACGAAGGACTTTGTTAGCCGCTGGGGCGGCTCAGAACGGGTGGCCAGGTGCGGGGGCATACAGTGCATCAGAAAGTTCCGCTCACACACCCTGCAACTTCCCACCGTATAGTAATCTAACGGCCTCAGCCAGTGCGAATGCACACAAAGCTAGCTCCTACCCAGGAGTTCCAAGTAGCATGGACTTGATGACCAACTGCCAACAAATGCAGCTAAATACCCTGAACTCTCTTCCCCCGCGTACATTTCCCTTCTATGGAGATATGTATCAACCTGGTCACGCAGTAATGGGCGGTGGGGGTATTTTCTCAGACCTCGCCCAGACCATGCCCGCCTTACCACGTTTCGACGACAGTGGAGCCTACCTAAACGATACATCAAACACAAGCAATGGTACGTATGCTATACATCATGGTGGTCAATACCCATAAAAAGTATCAATTTACTCAACAGCACGGTTGATATTACACTAGCACATTTTTTGTAGTAGAAGTGATGGTTATTTTGACGTATTCACACTAGAGTAATTTCCTTTCCATAAAATCTCTATAAAGTTGGGGCATCACAGAGATAATTCGGTTAACGATATATTTGGAAGAAATAAAAATGATTTATGCCTTAAATGATTGACACTTTGTTGTGTCATAGAAACTTTGTCTAAAAGATGGCGTGATATTAATTAAAGGTTGTTGTGTCATATTATAACATTCATCAATTATAATGATTGTTCCTTTTTGACGTTTATTATCTAGAAGTGATAGACCTAAATCTTTCTGATACCCATGACAGCTCTTTGAGTAATTAAGCCTTTACACTTGACCAACCCTGTTATAATTTCAACTAATGCCTAATCGAATTCTCTGCCATTACCAGTGCAGTTGCCCCGCTAAATGACAATATGTTCAGTTACTTGCACTAGAATTGGCCTTTGTGGTAAAACACATTATCATCAGTGGATTAAGAGATAACAATAATGCAGATCGTTCTCTCAATTCAATGCCTGGTAATTTGCATCATCTCCTTCTCCAGATGACCGTCCATTAAGACTTGTCTTAATTGGTTTAGAGATGTGATACATCTCTCAAAATCACATTTCTGTCAAATAAGTGATTCCAGTATTTCCTAAAATCAATTTAGAACTGTAAACACGAAGTAAGAAAATGTTAGACCAAACAGTTTGGTGAAGGATTCTGAATGCGAAATGTACTTGTTGTAGATCTTTCAATTCATTTTAATCAGCAAAAATTTAAGGAATCAAATCTGTTTATAATCAAAGGGCTAAGCCGAATAATCTTCGATCATTCACATCTTTTCACAATCAGAAATTTTTATCTCTTTCCAAAGATGTTCAATGGTTAGATAAGTTTATAATACTGTGGAATCCTCAAAACTAGTATATTTTCAAAATCGGAAACTTTCAACTCCATTTGTGTTATAATCATTTCAAACGTAAGATAAAAAAGCATTTATGCAGAAAAATACTTATGATCTACATATACTATAATGAAATCAACACAAAAATACTAAACACATAATGTACGCATATGAGGCAGTTAAAGTGAAATGAATCTATTCATATAGGATGAATCTCCAATATAATGTGTCTGTTTAATCGTGTAAAGTATTTTCACATTGTACAGCTACACTGATCAGTTTAATATGCTTTGATGTTGAGTTCCATAAATAATTAAGTTAAATCATCTTTCTCGATTGTTTCATACTGTTAAAACAATGTATTCCATCAGTATTGATCAAGTTGGATTGTTTATACTGACTAGATAAATCTGAAATGTTATCGTGTTAGTTATATGTTTGGGATGGTCAATGTCTTCATTAAAACGGCTCTTTGTCTTTCCTGTGACTAATCACACTTAATAAAGGTAATACTAAATAGATGGAATAGATGCTTAATAGGTTCTTGTAAGACAAGAACATATGAGTCCAAAGCACACCAGGCTTGCGAATTTGCCTTATCTATGTGATACAACATAAAATACGCAAATGGAAAATCTGAGAATATAAGATATTCCAAAGGTAAACACACACACAAGGAAAACATAAACACAATGTATAGTTCAATTTTTGGGTTTATAGGCTTTGGTGACTTCATTGCTCATAAAAATGATATGAATATTTTGGTCTCTGATTTACTGAGCTGTGGAGAATGGCATGCACTTCATCCAAGCGACTGTCACCTCCCACCTGCCCAAAGGCAGTAGAGGGGTCATATTCTCCCTTGAGAGACTTCATGCTTACACTTCAGTTGCCATGACGATGTGATCAATTACCCCAATAATCTAATGACCACACTATAAGATTATAGGTTATCCTTTGTTTGAAAAACCTTCAAATGATCGTCTTGTTCATCTTTGTTTATTTCTTTTGGACTGCGATTAAAGATATTGTCAAATAGTATATCACTAGTTATTAATATTAAAGATTAAACAAACGTGAGAAAAATAAACAACTGTCGACGTAAATCAGTATTGTTAGTAATTATACCATTTTCCCTGTAAAATAACCGGTTGGTTGAGAGCCAGTGGGCAACGGCTGTGCGTACTTTGACAAATCAGAAAAAGCTATAACTTCACTGAAGGAGTTGTATTCTATGATTTATCGGTTTGCACCCATTTGGCATCAGATCCATGTGTTCAGGTCTATAATTATCAGAGGATAGTTCTCAACAATTACTATGCCTTTGATCTCAGTCATAAGCTGAAAATACTACGCGGCCGTTTCATAAAAACAATGGTCAAAGTCCAGCTCACTCGGAAGTAATATCATTGCATTGCTCATTTGTAATATCCTTTCTTGAATGAGAGCAGATTGGAAGTAATTGCAGTTGATAACATGCATAGAACGCATCAGTTCTCAAATCAGGATGTGTACATTCATTCATTCCCTGTGTCAGACTTTTCTCTACACAATATGCGTCAGATTTCCAGTTTTAATATGACTATTCTTTTATTTATTACTGTTTAATAGTTTACTTTTTACATGTTAAAAACATACAGAAAATAGAATCAATGTTTTGAGGGACAATAATCAATTTTCAGCCCCAAACGCCCAACATTCTATAATAGAATCTAATTGATTCGAGAGTACTCTGAAATAAATCATAAATTACATTCATTGAGAACGGTACACAGGTTGCTGTTACGTAGATCTATTATGAACAGCCATCAAATAGCAATTCTAAACGCCGTGTTACCGCATGTATGTCTGAAATATGATTTAAAATGATCCTGAATACGTTTTCCAAGTGGCATTACGTTGGTTATGTGATGATAATGTACAATATAGTAGGTTTTGGAGCATATGCCATATGTGTCAAGTCATTTAGGATGATCTATAGAATATGAAATATGGGAAAGAGATGTCAACTGAACACGTTGAACGTAAGCAGTTGGAGTTGCTGGTTCCAATTTTACCGCCACGTGTTCATCTCGTCAGGCCCGTAGCCAGGGGGGGAGGGGGTTCGATAGGTTCGAGCGACCCCCCCCCCCCCGGCCAAACATTCTTTTAAAATCAGCCAGTTTTTCACCATTCTGTGCACATTTTAAGTGATTTGGCCATTTTTGGACCAAGATTGTCAAAAGTGAACCCCCCCTGGAATTTTCCAAAAAGTGAACCCCCACTTGACAAATCTTGGCTACGGGCCTGCTCGTTGTCAATATTGCATACTGTATAGATACACCTTCTGCAATTAGGATATACCAACGACATTCCTTGACACAATTAATGAAATACTTATTGATGTTAAGTTGAATTAGTTTGATTTTGTCAATGGCCATTTTGCCCTGTTCACATCTTTCACTAATCCGGTTGATGTCAAACAAATGAGCACTTCGTGTAAACTTTTTGATTTGTTCCTCGTGGTCTGCATCATTCAAAGGATTTGTTATGGATGGTTTTGACTAGTACATTTTGAGAAGTAAATCATAAGCAAAGGATGCATGTTATAATTCAGTGTTTTATGACTGGCTATTATAGGAACTCCATTTGCTTTATATTGGGATTTGTCATGGTTCTGTCAAATATCTTACCTGTCACATTTTACAAATGCCCATTGTCTTACATGCTTAAGTATCTTTTTATAACAAAATTCACCTAGAGTTTCACATCAAGTGAAACATATAAATATCATAGATCATTTTGACAATGTATCTTGAGTTTTACTTCAGGTGAAACATAGATACCATAAATCATTTTTGTTACTATTCATGGCAAGTTTGTTCATCTCTATGTGTCCTCTGTGCGAATGCTTTTACGAGTAAAATGTCACATACTTGTATACTCACGTTGTTCCCAACAAACCCACCCATTGAATAAACCCGCTATATTTCCATAAGTCATATGAGAATAAGCATATGAATTACATGTTATTGCTGTCAAGGTATTTTACCGTTTTATTTGTTCAACTGCTAATTGTTTTATCTATGGTTTTCAGTTGGCAATTATTGTCATTCCCTAAAGCTACATAGTATATATTGCGTAGGTTTGTTACCACGGTGACCTGAGACTACTTTTTTAATTTTTAGGGTTCGACAATTCTCTCAGTATTGAAAACACTGATATGGCCACGCCAAAATTATATGATGTGTGTTGTATTTTAATGAATATCACTTAGAAATTAGAGCTTCCATTCATGTTTTTGTGCAATGTCTCCTTGCAGAGCCCAGACAACGGAAGAAACGCAAGCCCTATACAAGGTACCAACTGATGGTATTAGAGAATGAGTTCATGAACAGTAGTTTCCTAACGCGCCAGAGCAGGTGGGAAATAGCCTGCAAGCTTCAACTAACAGAGCGCCAGGTGAAAGTGTGGTACCAAAACAGGAGGATGAAACGCAAAAAATTAAACGAACGAGCCAAGTCACTGACAGGCTCATCGCACGTGGGAGATACAGGGAACCCCTCAGGAGTGTTATCAGCATGACCAGTAAGATAGAGTCCCGCCACACCATGCTTAGCATGTCTCACTCTTGCTAACTACGTGTATTTATAGATACTTCATCCATTTTCAGAACCACGCCAAAGAAAAAAGCGAAAACCATACACCCGGTATCAGACAATGGTATTAGAAAATGAATTTCTGAACAATAGTTATATCACAAGGCAGAAGCGTTGGGAAATATCGTGCAAACTGCATCTGAGTGAGAGACAGGTGAAGGTCTGGTTCCAAAACCGACGCATGAAGAGAAAGAAAATGAATGACAGAGTAAAAATGCTCGTCAAAGATGAGACAATAAATGGCGTTGGAATGAGCCATGTTGAACCAAGTCACATGCAAGTGTGATCACGCATCAGCAGCGGGATTGTATATAAAAAGAGTCATACAAACGTGGGTGTGTACTGAATGATGGATGTGGATGAAATTAAGTGTTGATGGACTAGTATTTATAAAATACAATGTTGCAGTTGGAACCCCAACTGAGGAGGCTTTCAGGGAAGATAGTATTATTTGCCTCAACTTAAGGCGTTCACCAACTAACCATCGCTTCTGATGTTTAGAGTGTATATATTATAACATCATTTGCGAACCTCGGAGTCATTGAATTAAGCGGCAAGAAGCCGAGCATGGCTGGTGTACGCCATGGTATCACCACGTTGTACTTCCTTTATAGTAATAGATCGTTTAGGTGTAGAGTCGATATCTGTATAGTAAATATTAATATATTCTATGATTAACAAGTATATGTAGAAAAAAGCATTGTTTCGTGTGGTCAACCTATGTATTCTAAAGACTATGTTCTCCTTGTAAATCACCATTAACATTTTCATTTGTATATAGATCATTATGAATAACATTTTTAAATGTCAAACCACTGCGAAACAGATCTGATTGTAAATCAGAAAGATATTTATTTGAAAAGTTCCAACAAGTTGTATGGTATTATGAATATGTGTGCTTTATCGTAGTTTAAATGCTAAATTACGGACGAGTTAATTGCGGGTTAAATATATTATGATATGTTTCATTGTGGGAGTTTACATAAAATCCTCATTTAGTAAACATAAACACCGCCATGGAATATAGAATATACGCTGATTAATCATTGGGTTGATTTTTATAACTGATCCTAAAGGGATATACATCTCTCGTAAAGTCTACCAGGACTGTAATAAAATTCATATTAATTTAATTGGAGGTCTCAATTTATGATGACCTTCACAACACATCAACAAGACAAATTTGCTGAAACTTATGGTGAAGTTCAACTTTATAAAAAAGCACTGAAAACTTACAGAATAAATATATGACTGAAACACCCCTAGGGGTAAATTTGATGGTGCCGTCACGTGATATCCAGCTATCGGGTTGCAATATATGTCGCCCACCCCGAGATTACGTTTATCTTATATCCTCTTTTTATAACTGGCCTAAGGATGATATACATCTACTTAAATTGCTGGAAAAACACATGGCCATAATCAGTGTAGGAGCATGCAGCTTCTTAAATGCTAAAAGGGAGCCACCTCAAAACATGTTGATGTCCTTCGGTACTGTACTTGCAATCCTGATAGAATATATGATTTTTAAATACAAAATGATTTGTTATGATTAAGTTAGATTTGCTCAATGCATATTATACACATGTCTCATGAAACAATAATTTAGGATGTGAAATAGCACCAGTGATCACTATTCAATACCATTGAATAATTGAATAGATGATCACTCGTATTTTTCACATTTTTATTAGGTACTTATTTTTTAGAGACACCGACATTTGTCTTTGTTTTAAACATTGAACGGTGGAACTGCTTCCTTGTTATATAATTTGCACATTTCCTTTTTACGAGTTTTGCAATATTTTCGAATTTGTTACTGACAATTTTAATTAGTCGTTCATTCCTTATTAAACAGTTTTTGTTTCTTTCAGCAGGCTTTGGTTATTTGTTTTTACAAAATATTTAGTACTCCAGAAGTGTTAAAAGGGCCTCGAAAGTCGAATGAGCAATATCAATATGTTTTTTAAACCAGTTCTTCATTTAAGATTGTATTACCATTCTGAATTCTTATGCTAAGAATACTTTTTTCTCGTCAGACTTTGTTTTTTCAAAGTCAAATGAGTAAAACTGTTACACAGTGTGACTGGTTCAATGATATTGCATATGGTGTAAACATATTATTGAAGGAACATAGAATGATTTGGAGGGGAAACCTAAGAGTTTTTATTGTTGTTTAACCATCAGGTTAATATACTTTATAGTACGTATGATGGTTACAAAAATATGTTCAAATCGATGGGCGATCATTTAAATTTTTGTTTTCATTCTAACACCAACAAACAATGCCTCAGACGTAGACATTAGTTATGTATATTACGTCGATTTGGTTTAAAGTTTATATAAATCATTCTATGTTGATGCAACAGAATAATGTGGAAATGGTGCTTGAAACTGAATGGAAACAGTTTTCATATATTATATACGTGTGTTTCATATGTTCTTTTTTGTAGACCAAGGTTTATCTTGCCAAGTTCTTAATATGTAAATCAGAGTTTTGAAAATTTAAAGACCATGTGTAAAGTTTAAAAACATGCTTCTTTATTCAAATATTTTTTTTAAGATTTCAAAGCTTACCCCGAATAAATTGAAATGAAAAAGCAAATTTGGCCCTTTTTTCACAAAACCTCAAACACCCATCTGGTTCAATATAAACACTATTAACATTTTAATTTTATATTCACTTTTATAAGACTTTTACAGTTTTAACTTTACACTGGGTCTTTAGAAATTATATGTTGGTATAAACAAAACATGATTGTGTACAACAAAATCTATGTTTGGTCTGTATGTATATTAGCATTTTAGTTTAGACAATAACATTTCCTGACAATGCCAAAAATGCAATCGCAGATATGAATAGCGCCATGTGTGTCGATAAACTCAACTGTGCAATTATATATAAACAGGGGTTTGTAGCATAGTATAAGTAATATGAAGTAAATGATTATGTAAATTATGAAAACAGATGTTGTGTTGACTTTGATATGTGAGGGTTAGGGTTAGACCTATAATCAATATGGGCACATCGTAATTCCATTTCCATTTTTGATCTTTCAGAGTATTCCTTTTAAAATATTATTTTGTCGTGAAGTCTTTTTCTTTTTTATTGATTTCCTTCACATTATTCCTTTCCTCAAACAAAATGACGGATTTGCCGCAACATCTTGTAAAACAATTACGCAAGTAAATGTAACTCTAACTCCAAGATTAGACACAAGGGACCAGTTGCCTGTCGCAAAATTACTTAAAGATATATTTGATATATGATTCTCACTCTATATTTTCTCGTCAACGTGACTCAACGATGATCCCCAAAGAATGGATTTCAGCAACTTAACAAAAGTTATGTTCCAGGAACTATGAAACAAACATTCTCAAAATGTCAAACCTCTGAAAACTTACTTTCTCAAATGGCTACACGAGAAATTTCAAAATCCACAACATGAATGCCTGCAATTTTAAAAGGAATAAACCCGCTTATTTGTTGAGGAATATTGTTCTAAATTTTAATTTTTCAGAAAATGGGGTTATACCAAAGTCTTTTCATTGCAAGTTACATATTTATAAATATTCTTTAATTTGGGATGGTTCTAAGTATAACTTTTTTCTTTGGCTTTCACTTGATATTACCGGCAAGTTCTAGAGTTATTAGATTAAGCATAATTCATGCCTCAATTTTATGTCTTCACTATTCAATTGATATGTAGTGTCAATTTAAAACAAAACTGGCAATGGCTTATTTGACCTTGATACTTGAGTTTTGATTTTTGACTCCCATATGGTTGAACTCCCGCTGACACCAGCATGCATCTTGCTTGACCGAATTCTATATTTTCATATCTGAAAATTACATCTGACTGACATTTTTTAAATGGTTAGTCGTTTTTATGTTACTCACATGCCCTGGTTTTCTGATTTGCTCGTTTATAGGTCATTTGGCCATTATTCATGGACCGCAATTTGAATCTCAACTTGAAGTTTAAGAAAAAGCGGCCATTTTACATTTTGGAGAATATTTTTTGTCAAGTTATAGTTCAATGCTCATAATTCATCGAAGCCTATAAAAAACCATAACTCCTGATGAAAGCCATTTATTATTTTCTTGGTTTGCATACATTAGCAATATACCAGCGTTTTAATATCTATTTTTATTGTTTAATGAAAAAACAATGTTGTATAACATTTACTGTGCCTAATGAAAATAAAACAAAATGAATGGTGAAAGTGAACTATGGCGATAGTCATTTCTCTAATCCAAAGTTGATGAACGACGCTACATCACCAACGTTACAGAGAGAGAAAAATGATTGTATTAAAGAATACATTCATTAAACGATTCAGTTTTATTATCTCTCTAAGATTTACAGGATGATTTCTATGCAAAGTTTATCAATCATCCTAAGTTATGAGCTTGCACTGATTAGTCATCTTGCCGCTTGATTATCTATTCATATTCCATAATATTACGTTCTTTTATCTTCTTTGTCAATGAAGTGTAATTGTAAATGTCGATATTTATTGCGGCATTGTTACCGGTCACTACAAATGAGCAGCGCCCCCGTTAATAGCTTATCGTTAAGGCAGGATCGGATCTAGCAACGATAAATAGTAGTAGTAACAATCATTGTTTCACTTTAAGATTATTTTGGGCTTATTTTATTCCTTGTCATGTATTTTTTCTAAAAATCACCAAAGTGTATACATTTTTTGAAAAAAATAACGATTTTTTATAATTTGGAAAATTAAATACTTTTCCCCATTTTTGAACTTTGAAACATAAACAACTTCAACGTTATGACAAACGTGGATAGTAAGGAATGTATTCACTGTTCCACAAATAGATACTTTGACGGGGTCAATGTAACAAAATGGATGAACTTCCTGGTTACGATTTTTTTGTTTTCTCGATTTAAACCTACTTATAAGTCAAGCTGCAGATTATATCTTGGCACAAAGCTAGAAAATATAGTCTAGTTTTAATAAGTTTAAATCGAGAGAACAAAAAATCTCGTATCCAGGAAGTTCATCCATTTTGTTACATTGACGTTCCGTCAAAGTAACTAGTTGTGGAACAGTGGTATTGCTAGGTAATATGTACACATTCCTTGCATTAATCACTCCTTATAGAACTGATTCTGCCTCTAGAACCGTATCAGTATACTATACTTTACATGTACTAATACGTATATGGTATATCAGGGTGAGCCAATAAAGGTGACCAAAACAAATGATAACAACTCAGTCATCCAGCATGTGTTTACCTTAAATGATCATTGTTCAATGTTCTTTCATTTTAAAAAGTTCCACTGATCTTTTCCAAATAGTCATGATTGTGTGGCCATTTTACAAAACGTGCATGTGCCAAAATCACCCAATATGAACCCCTAGAATTTCATCTCTGGGGCTATTCAAAGAAAATGTCTACACTAACAACCCTAGGTGCATCTGAGAGTTGAAATAATAGCCTGGAAGGAAAGAGAGCTATTACACTAATCTCATTCTGTGAGTGTGAAGTCGGAACAACATAACCCGATGCGTCCTAGTTGCCTCCAGAGTAGAGTCCAGAGACGAGACCAGCATTTTGAGCATGTTTTGTAAAATGGCCACAAAATCGTATCCATTTAGAATAGACCAATGACATGAAAGAACATTGAACAAGGTTCAATTGTGCCAAATATGACGCCAAACCCATGCTGGATGACTGAGTTATGAACTTTTGTTTGGGTTACTTTTTTTACTCACTCTGTAGGATCAGGCTTTGGACTTTCTGTGTGAATTAGAGCCTTAAAACATACATCATTCTCACATTTGACCTTTGATATGACCTTGTAAATGTTGCTAGGGAAGTTGATACAAGACTCAATGGAACTGTAGACGGAGTCAGGTGCTTACGATAGGAACAGAAAATGCGACAGAAACATCGGGAAAATAGATCATCAACCAAATACTATAACAAGGCATACTTGATGTTTTTGGGTCCAATGCCTATCTGTCATCACAATGGCAGGCCTGTCGTTTACACTTTACAGGGCCACACCCTGAATGTAACATACCTACTAGAACCTTTAGACAGTTCAGATTGGGGTGTGGATGCCCGTCACATAGACACATATTTCCATGGACGCATTTACTAAACATTTCCGCCAACAAGCTGATGTGATGACGTATATATGGTGTGAACTAATATATTATATATATGATAACTACCCCAGCATGTTTCCAACATCTACTTTTTTGTTTTATAGCTCTTTTATGATCTTGATCGAAGTACTAAATGGGCATGCCATTTGTTCTTTCGCATTATTTTATAATCTATTATGCTTAAAAATATAGTGGTCTAAAGATTGCTTAAAGTCCCCGTCTAAAGTTTGAAAATATATTTTTATCATTCATTTACTATTTGTCAGGACTTAAAAAGTGATTTTAGAGATTTTTGAACAAAAATTTTTTTTTGAAATTTCTTAATCATCAAATATTTCTTAATGCATTTCAAAAAAGATTATCTTTTTAACACCAATGCAAATGTTGAACAAAGGACACACTATTTCAATAATAAAATGCCATATTTAATGGGCCACTTCAATGTTTTAGCATATCAAAAATATTTTGAAACATTAGTGATGTCACTAAGGTACCAAAAA